TGACATACAGCGAATGGATGCTGTAGATCTCCGACAACAGGTCCTTGCGCGCGCAAGTCTTCACATTTCAAGAGCATCCGAAATCCTGCGCCCACCCTCTTATCCGACCATGTTGAACAAGCGAACTGTGGCATGATGGGCCTCCATCAAGTCCATGTCAAACTCCGGGACGTTCTCATGCAACGCCCATTTGACAGGACACTGACCTCACGTCTCAGAGGACAGCATCAACATCGCCTGCCGCTTATATTAATTATTAATTGTGTTAAAAACACAAGCTTGTGCAAGCACCAAACTGACAGACTCATAAAGACAGATCTGGGATGCGGCCCCGTCACGCATCTTGTGGGCCCAAACAAGAAAGCCAAGAACACGAGGGTCGTTCCGACGCCGACGCAGGCCAGCCCTGCTGAAGGGCTGGCAGGGTGACCCCGATACATCTGCATCGGCACCCCAGGCCTTGCATGAATGTCGATGTCGGAGGCAGTGCTGTTGACGCAAACGCTGACCCAGAAGGGATGTCCACACATCATCCAGGTTTCCATGGCCGATCGGTCGCACGTCATCGACGCACTCCGTGATGTCGCCGCCGAAAACGCAGGCGTCGGTGTTCGCCAGCCTGTCCATCAAGGCGTTGACACAGGAACGAGACTTATCCAGGACAAAGGCAGTCTTCCACGACGCTGACTCGGCCATCCATTCAGGCAGGTTGACGTGCAGGATCTGCAGAGCCACTTCCACCGTGCCCACACCAGAAAAGTGGCTGGACACTGACATGCTTTTGGACAGCAGACTGCCTGGGCAACGTAACGGGGCATCTGTTTTCAAAAAAAGTTTGTGCTTGGCATGTTCTCCGTCTGAGGGAAACCAACAGCAAGAACGAACATTCGTGTTCCAAGACACTAGCCAACCCATCTGGCCCAAATATCTGTGACAGACACGCGAGAACCATCTGGGGCCATCGGAATGCTGACTCCATGACCGACACTGGAGGAGCAGCCCTCAGAGCAACACGCCGACCCTGCTGATGCTCGTCATCCCGCAGCCGACGTTTGCGTGGCCCAGCCGAGGATGAGGAAGCCAGGTCGCGAACGTCATCCTTGTGGCTGTTTCACTGACGGAGCCAGAGCCCAGAGCCCCAATCATAAGAAACAAAAACTCTATTTAAACATAGTCGTTGTACTTGTCGAAACCTAGCCACGTCATCCTCCTCTACTTTCAGCTCGTCTGACGCCGACTCCGCAACATCCGATTCATCCTACAAATTTTGAATGCAGCTGTAGTAGACTAGCTGGTTAAATGAAATACACAGCCTGCCTGAATGGATCAACCGGACTTGAGCATCAGCGTCCTCGAAAAGTCCCGGCGAATCGTCATCCATGTCCGTGTCGTGGCCGAGAGCTGGCACACCT